AAGAGATTCATGAGGTATTCATGAACTGTATAGAATAGATCCAAATTCTAATCATTAAGACCGTCAGGATCTAAGTTCCTAGATTATGCTTTTAACTTTCAGTCATTCTCAAATAAGCTTTGGAGGTGGTAATTTTTTGTTCTATTTAATCTTAATGGGTATAAGAAAATAGTTAAAAAAAAACTCTGTACACACAGTTCTTTTTTTACATGTATAAGTGACATTCATGGAAATTTCTGATTTAATTTTTTTTCAGAAACCCTCCACGGTTATCTGAAATTTTATGTGCATGACTAATTTTCCTATTTCATGTTTTTATATTAAACTGTAAATCAATCCTCAAAGATGTGTCATATATTCAGATTGGGAATGTGGGAATTGTATCTTTGGATATGGGAAAAATATTAAACTAGAAAAGAATTTATCTAATCATTGATAATTTAAATACCAAAGGATATAAGTTTTCTAATTTTTAGAAAAATACACAGGCACACACTTGTACATTCACATGCGCACGCACGCACGCACGCACACACACACACACACACACACACACACACACACACACACACACACACACACACACACACACACACACACACACACACACACACACACAAATGGATGAAGATCTAGATATAAATGTCTATATAGATGTACTACAAAATTATGTGGAAATGTGCAAATTGTATATAACTCTGTGGAAGTGTATCAGTTGCACTATGAAATATTTACAGTATAACATCCGTTTCAGCAAATAGAGGGTGAAGTATATGAAGTAGACGACCAAATGATGTCCAGGCTTGATGTTTTGGAAGTACATCCCAAGTATTATGAGAGAAAGGTGAGTTATATTGTGTTAAGAGATTAATTGATATACTGTTTATGATAATTTATTGATGAACATTCTTTAATTCTTTGTAGTACATCCCATAGATAGCTATAAAGGTAAGGGAACACTTGCTATAGTGATTTTTCTTAGTAGGGAGAAAATTTAAGAAGTTATTAAGAACTGACCAAATTCAATAACGTATTTTGATGTTATGTGAAGTAGATTAGTAATATTTATGATTCAATATGTTCATGAAAAAATAAAGACTAAAGTTTTAATTTGAGAAGTTTCTCGTGAAATTATTTAAGTAATTTATATATCAAGACAAGATAGTGAATTGATGGCAATTGTGCAGATAATTCGGATAATGAATGGTATCCCACATTGTTAAGTTCAAGAAAGTCAAGCGTCATAAAGTGGCTAAAAGTATAAGATAAAAAACTTGCTGTGAAACACTCTCAGTTTTACTTTTGTTAAAGTTTGGAAGATCTAAGTTCAAAGTTTTTGTGGATAGTGTGATATTTAAGTTGATATGTGCTTACTTCAGTGTCATTGACTGGTACAGAAATACTCATTTTTAAATCAATGAAAGAATACATAGTTTATTTCCTTTTAGTAGAGGGGAAGAAGAAGATACTTTTAACAGAATAAATGCAAAGACAGGAGAGGTAAATCAGATTAATACATATAATATTAAGATTTATTAACCCCAGATAAAGTAAGTTGGAAAATTACCTGCAGATCAGTAATCAGAATCATGCACTCAGTAATTACAGATCAGCAATTATATACAGACTATCAAAGGAATACCCAATTAACTTATGTGATAACAGAGATGAGATATTGCCGCCAAATATTTGAAACAGCCGCTTCATCCACAGGTACATGCATACTTGAATACCACATAGCAAATTAAGTGCTTAGGTACCTTAAACATTATGTTTGTCTTCACAGTTTTTATGCACTTGTTATGGCCTATATACTGCATCCACTTGATATTCAGATGCAGAAAGAAAGAAGTGCTATATTGGAAAACCTTACCCTTAGTCTGGTAGTTTGTGATGTCTAGTATATGACTTGGTAGCATATGACTTGGCTAGCCATGCTTCATACCAAGTCTTTTACTAGAACATCGATTGCAAGGGAAAAAAAAATGACATTCTTGCTTGCTGTAAATTGCTTAAAATGAACATTTTGCATCTGGGGTAAAGAGCAAAAAGATATGATTGACAATAAATTTCATATATAGTGTGTGTACTATGAAAATAATATTGGTAGTAGAATAAAAAAAAAAAATACTAGAAAAATAGAAAGTAGATATACAGGACTATACTCAATGTTAAATGGGTAAATGATACAGTATGCTCCTTTATTTTCAGATGGTAAAAGCCAGCATGCAGGAATCTAAGGAGGCCATTGACTGTTGGATATACCTGCTGTACCACTTCAAGCCAGAGTTATTAGAGCTGCCTCACCTGTCCACCTACTTCTCGAAGGGGGACTTTGTGCCGAGAGATATGCGTGATATCAAAGGTCCTGAATACTGGAGTGATGTAAAACTTCCGGAGGGTTTGTGAGCAAGGAATATTAGGCAGAATCAGTCATGTGTGATAGAAATATCAGGCAATTTCCTATCAATATTCCATTTATTGTTTTTGTCTTTCAGGGATACTTATGAATTCATGTATATACTGTATATGTATAGTGTTATTACAAGGTGATATAGAATGCTCACTTAAAGAATAGCCATTACTTTGTATTTATATGAAAGTGCAATGATTTTATTTAACAAGTCTCCTTGCATAAGTTATGAATGTTAAAATACCTAACTTTGAACTCCATTAAGAAAACAGTTTTGTGATTCCTCTTAGATTTTGGCTAGTTTTTTGAACTACAGATTTTATCCCAAATTTTAAAAAGGACAAACAGTGAATTAAGCTGAGGAAGAAAGTATATCAATATTATTTGGTACTAATCAGCATTTTAGGTTTGCATGTACTGTGCAATGCTCACTTTGGATGCTAGAAATTGTTATTCATTATGGTTGTTAATTATAATCTAAAGAGAGTGAATATAAGTGAAAGGTTGAATGAGAGTTTGATTGTAAGGTGGAGAGTGAGAAGTGAGTGTGAGTGTGAGTGTGAGTGTGAGTGTGAGTGTGAGTGTATGGTAGGGTCATAAGGATAAAGGAAGAAATTAAGATAGGCTGGCATGGATTCAGTTATTCATTGAGGGATCAAGTCAGTCAGTCAATTGGTCTGTCAGTCTGTGAGTCAGTTGAGCAGCTGGTTGGTGAGTCAGTGAGTTAGGGGTGAGTAAGTGGGCATGTGAATCAGTTAGTTGATTGGTTGCAAGCAGAAAGGAAAGTAGGGAGGAAGAAACATAGGAAGGAAAGACAGGTCAAATAGACTTCAATCAAACAGTATCACAGAGGAAAAAATATATATATATAATATAATTGATTATAAAAAAAGGACAAGTGCAGAGTGAGATTGTCTGGTTAAAAGTAAATATTAATAAAATATTTGATTAGGAAATAGTGAGAATAAAAGGAATGGAGCAGATTCTTAGGAAATCATAACTCCCAATTTTATTTTTTAAGATCTCAATACCTGACAAGACAGTGCGCAGTGAAGGAGAAGAGGTGAATAGTTCCTGAAAACTTTTTTTTTTCTCGAGTCATTTAACCTAAGCATGTGTAGGATTTTCATTTATGTTTCTCATATCTGCAGCTAGTACTGTATGTTAGTTGCCTCAGACTACAGTAAACGTTGAATGTTGCAGTTATTCAGGTAAGGCAATCAAATATTTGATGGGGTATACTTTTGTGTTAGGAATTATAAATAAGTATGATTTATATTTATAGTTTAGCAGAAGTATATTTCAAACATTCCCTTTAGTTAGCATCAAAGTCTTTTGCAAAAGTTGAGTAAATATTGAAGATGCATATATTAAGAATGAATAAAGTATACTTAAAGTTCAGTAATTGCAAATGCAGAAGAGTAGTGGACAGAGGGAATGCAGATGAGGCTGTAGTGGCTGAGTGGTTAGAGTGAAGGACTCAAATACTCATGAATAGTCACCGGCCAGCACATTGTTTCCTGGGCAGGGAACTTCTCCTCAACTTGAAACAGGTAAACCCCCAACAACAAGTGCAACTTAATGCCAGCCCCAAGCCCAGATAAAATAGGGAGGTTTGCAGCAGGATGACATTCAGCGTAAAATAAGCCAAGACTATGATGCAGAGCACTCTACTCTGGCAATCCCTTAGGGGAGAAACTGAAAGGAGAAGTGAACAGAAGGAATGCACTTAGTAGAGATGACATTTATTTTGGCCAAAAAAGAGAAGATGAATAATACTCAGTCGAAGTTCCAAATCCCAAAGTTTACTAAGAGATAATTATCTGAAAAAAATCTGAAACTTTAGGAATAGAAATAATTTTATTTCAGTTTGGTCTTCCTTTATAATACCTCTTTTTCTTTTTCCCTTTTTGAGGTCATAAAGCAAGGCATTATTACTGGTATTTTATTTCTAGTACAAAAGAACATATAGACCATATGAGGAATAAGAACACAATAGTTCCTATTGTATACTCTGCCCTGTTCTGACAGCAGGGAAAGAATCTGTAATTAAGATATTGTTAGATGTGGTCATTATCAAGAGTGTAAGTCCATCGCAAATGATAATGATGCGAAACTTTCTTTTGTATATCCGTTTGCAGTGTTACATAGTGTTTTATTTAATGTCTATTGTGAATACTACAAACTCTTTAATTTACTCATTGTTTTGTATATTTAAAATGTTACTTTTACAACTTGATGGATTTCATCTAATTTTGTAACAATTTTATTGATTTTGATATTGTTGGATATATTTTATATATTTTTTTTGTGGTTTGTAGTTCAGACTTTTTCTTCTTCTTTATTTTCATTCTTATAACCTCAGTATTCTCATTATGATAATCTTGATACTTCTGAAATTGTTTAGAAGTAATCTAAACTTCTGGTTTATACAAAGAAGAGAAATGGGATAAGAAACAAAACAGATTCATTTTATGCCATGTATCAAGTTTTAGTTGGATTAAATAAAAAAAAAAATGCAAGGCAGGTTGAACTGCATCAAGTTACTTTTAAGTTAATTTACTGTATTAAATATTTATCATTTTTATTTAGTGTTTTTTTACTTCCGTATTATACTCATATAGGCTTAATCTATGAAATTTGTACAAACTTTAAATAAAGTGAAAGGTCAGTCTGTGAGTATTCAAAATGATTAATTTCATCATTTTTTCCATCTTTATGCCTTTAAATATTTTTATTTTAATTCAGTGGAAGTAAGAAAATCGTCTTAAAGAAGTTAATCAAATAAGTCTATGCTTACAAGTGCCAGTTTACAAGGAGTCTTCCTATATACCGAAGTAAGCTACATCACCATCCCTAATCCAAGTATTCAAAGCTGCTTCTTCACTGGCAGGTGTGGGTGGGTAGGGGTGGAAGTGATCTGGCAGGATTGCATGTCCAATGGAGTAAATTTTTTCATGAGTAAGGAATGTTGAGATTACTTTTAAAAATTAATTTGAGTAATCTCTGGAACCACCAGCTTTATCAGAGAGAATTAGTTTTTAACTCTGTCTTGCACTCTGAAGGGTTATAAATAACAATTTTACAAAAGTTTTCACTTCAGTCTGCTCAAGTCACTTTGCACATGGAAGTTGCTGAAATTGTATTTTAGGTGAGTATTCAAGTTTGACTCATTACTAGCCACTTCTCATACTAGTATATTTTTCATACTGGCTTCTGCTACAAGCAATAGTGTTCATCTAGAGAAAAGTTCTCACCAGTTTTAGAAAAATCCTTTGAAAGTACCAAAATCAAAATCCCTCAGCCTGAAAGAATACAGTGAGAAATGATTCTTTGATTCTAAATATGTAGAGAAGAGGAAATTTTAACATCTATTTCTTATAAACTATGTATGTTAATAGATTACAAACTCCTTTTAACAAAGAAGGTAAGGTGAGTTTATTATATCTTTAGGCACTTGGTGTTTAACAAGACTATACATAAATTCACCAAATACTGTGTCAGGTTTAAGCGAAGAATTAACATATTTCTTAATGTACAGTATATAATACTACTACCATTATGTATACATGAAACAACATTCAAGACTCTTTTCACACCGTCAAATCCTTACACTTTTTGCTTCTTTCACAAATTTTCATAATGAACATATAGTAGAAGGTTAATATAACAGAGGTAGTAGATTATAACCAGAAATTTAATGAAATCTGATGACATTATAATATTATCTGATAATTCAGGTGAGCAGTTTATTTGCAACTAAACATTTACAATGAACACTTTGAAACTGGACTAACTTTTGCCTATAGAACCTTTTTAGTGCTTTGGGTGCTTTCCAAGTGGTCTGAAATGTACCGTATGAATATAGCTGTTCATTTTTCTCACAATTTATATATATATACATGCTACAATATTTTCCCTCTTTTTCATTATACATAAGTTGGCTTATAGTTTTACCGAATAACATGGAAAATACTATAGTATATAAATACTATATAAGTTATACAGTATGGAATTGATTTATCAATTCTTAAAAACTAAAGTTATATGTTCATATATATAATTTTTTATTTGTTTATTAGAATAAAGAAATAGGAAAATAAAATTAAATGATACATTGAATCAAGATGCATTTATTTCACACGTGAACAATTTACTGTATATTTTTCCAGCAATCTAGCCTATGGCTTCAGGAATAAAAGAACATTGTTAATCAGTAATTAGTTCCTGGAGAGAAATAAAGGTTTTGTCATGGAAAATGAAAATATCAGTGAAATTATAAATAAAAATAAAGAATATCATGGAAGAATACAAAATGATATGATAGCATAACATTGTTTAAGAAAAGAAAAACTAATTTCAAACAATCTTTTGCTATAACTTTTGCCAAAAATATGAAAGGACAGAAAACAAAGAGAAACATACAAACCATGCTCGAACTAACAAGAAAATCTAAATACTACATTAAAAAGTAATAGTTTGACTATGGATAAAACAATGCAACATTCAGACTTGTTTCTGTTATAATACTGATAATTTTGCATTAATGGCAGTTTGTAACCATCAGAAAAGTTCTTACATTGCTAGCATTATCCTCTGATGCTTGAATAATATAGTCATTATATAACTAATCATCTGTGTATTATTAAACTGGCAGATCAGCGTTTTGCCTCTGATAACCAGCTTGTAAAATGCTCTGAAATAAAAGTGTTACAGACTAGTATTAACTGGAAAAACCGAAGTGGAGTATCCTGTGTCACACACTTTAAAGAGAAAAATAAAAACAAATACCCTAAGTGCTAAGCCTGCACTTTTTCTTGGTGTTCTTTCACTCTTTTTCATATAGTGCCAGTGTATTGAAATCCCATTATTAAGTGTGACACAGATATTGTAGCAAGTTTAATCTTACGGCTAAAAAATAGAGAGAGAAAAAAAAGAATGTTCAGGTCATAAGGAAAAAATGTCCATTAACATATGTGTACGGATACATATACTGTATATAAATACACTTTGGTTTGATATCCTGTTTTCGTGTGGGGCACAATGAACAATTTAGTGTCCGTCTAACAGGCATAATGATTTTTAGT